CAATCCATGCAGTGTTTGGAGAGGGTGTGTGGCTGTGAAAGCGGCTTCTGGGGACAAAAGGAGCGGGTGTTTGACCTGTAATATCCTAGGCAGACCTGGATTTTAGGCCTGGATTTGGTCCCCTAATACCTGGGGCCAGTCCTGTCTCTCAGCCACTCGCTCCTGCTGCAAACCCCTGTGTTCCTGTGCTCAGCTGAGTGCCGCTGTCAGAGAGGAGGTGCTTGGTGCCCAGTGTGCCCAGTTCTGAGAGCTGACAGCTTGTGCTCTCCCCAACACCGCGACACTCTAGTGTTAGGCTCTGGCGAGGCAGGAATCCTGCCTGGACATCCTGCCCACCAGTAACCACCTGGAGTAGAAATCAATTGTGGATAAATTCCTAGGAAAGCCAAAATGGAGGAGAAAGGCGGGTTGGAGGATGAGCCTCTCCACTGCAGTTGCTGTCAGCTTTCTCCGTGTGCGATCCGGGAGGTCGGAGTTCCCTGGGAAAGGGGACGAGCTGGGGAGCAGGAGGAGGCTGGCTCTGCAAACACCACGCTGCAGTTTGCAAGGTGTGTGCTCTGCAATGGGTAATTTGCTCCTTTATTGTCTGCAGCATAACAGCAGTGACAGCATTGACTTTGTGTAATGAACAGCTGCTCCGCGCTAGAGACTATTCCCGACGGAGCCTCGCCGGGATGAATAAGGTTTCAGGCTCCTCCTCCGGAGAGGGTGAGAAAGTTCGCGGAGCAGAGATTGCTGCTTGATTGCCGGGTGTCTCCGAGTCTCCAACCGCTGACAGCCGAGAGCGGGATGTGTCACCAGGCAAGGCCTGTTTAACCTCCAGCAGCTCAGGCGAGGCTGGGTGTTTATGGAGCTGGGAAGGAGGTGTTAGTTCCCGGCCAAGAAGAAGTCATCTTCCTGTCACTGCCAACGACCATCACAAATTGGCTGAACAAAAACCCCTTTTCCTCCCTTTGCACTGCCTGCATTCTTAGCTGATCCTCTGCACTAACAAGAGCAGGGAGAGGAGAGCTGATGAATTATGGATGCATTAGAGGCAGACCCAGGTTGTAAACTCTCTTGGAGTTTGGAATCGCTCGTGTATGTTCGAGCTCGAGTTATAACTTCAAATAAACATTTTGTGCTTTGTCTCCAGCAGCTCCCCGCGGTGCCTCCCTTCACATCGCTCTCCTCTGCTTTGAGCCTGTACAAGTTTGGGTTTTAGGAGCCAGGCAGCTTGTGTGTTAAGGTCCCAGCCTGGCCTGTTCGCTCTGCTGTCGTGGTGCTCCCTGTGCTCCCCTCGCTGCCCCCTGGGGTTTTATATTACACTTTATTATAAGCCGTTTCCTGCATTTCTTCTGTGTCTGGCCAGAGCTGAGCACTGAAGCCCTTCTCCAGGAGTGCTGCCCTGCAAGGTACCTGTAGGACTTCCCCATCTTGTGATGGGAAAGTAGAAAACTGCATAAACAGTGAGAAATCATCTGGAATGAGTTATTCATTTGAAAATAAAGGGGGGAGTATTTTGAAATATTTCTGTAAATTGCCTGTTGAGTCCTGTCCTTGTTACCTGCTACCCTGTCCCTTGCCCTGTGGTGGCTTTTTACAGTCTCCCTGCGCAAGGCTCATGGTATGAGTGATACAGGGTGACACAGAGCAGTTCTATCAGTCTCAGTGCACTAAGAGTTATCCCAGAGCAGTATCTGACACCCTGCAGGTGTTTTTTCAGCCCAAGACAGTACAGCTAGACTACCTGATTCACAAGGGCAAAAAGCCTGCAAAGGGAGGTGGTAGTGGTAGGGTTTAGTGTGAATTCATGGCTTCAGCCTCAGGCTGTGCAGAGCTTTGCTACTTGCAGAAACAAAGCAGAGCTGGAGGTGGAGGCAGGAGATCTCAAGCCCCAGTGGAAATCACAGCCCTGGGAGCGCTGTTGGCACTGGAGCACGGGCAATGTGGTGCGGTGCCTTCAGGGACCTACTGCGTCCAAGCAGTGAAGGATGTCTTGGAAGCAGCAGCTCTTTTTCTCTTTGGTTCAAACAACACTCCCTCTTGACCTGAAATTGTTTTAATGGCAGCGGAGATGAAAACTCGGGTTGCTTTAGCTCCGTGATGCTTGTTGGGCTCAGCTGAGCAGAGCCTTCCTGCTTAGTTTAGCACTGTCCTGGGGAGCTCTTTGGACCAAGCCGAGCTCAGTGCAGCGCGGTTAACCTGCCATCCAGCCTGTCCAGCTGGCCTGTTGCGATGGGAAGCGAGGGATGTCCTTTGGAGGAGGCTCCGTTTGCCTGGGAGCCCGATTAGCAGGCTTGTCCTGACAGTCCCACAGGGAAGTACAAATCTGGAGCGAGCCGTGTTTGTGTGCAGGAGATGCATGGGGCATTCATCCATGCGCGTGCCTAGGAACGCCGTGGAAAAGCCCCAGTGTTTATTTTTGTAATATGATTTCAGTAATAATCAGTGACAAACAGACTTGGCAAGTGGGCTAATATGTTTTCCCAGTAGTTTTTCCAAGGCTGAAACTGGAGTTTTGGCCGAGGGAGGAGAAAGCAGCAACGAATGTCTGAGCTGCAGATCCACGTGGCTGTTGCTGATCTTGGCGCTGCAGGAGCTGCCGAGACCTTGTGGGACGCCCTTGGATTCGACTGTTGGGAGGCCCCAATAGCTGCTCCCTTCCGCTCTCTGCAGCGTGAGCTGCCGAGCAGCTCGTCATGGACCTGGAGCTCTAGGTAGAGGCTCTTCCGAGGCAGATTTCCAGGGAGTGTTTCGGAGCTTGGGCTGGGGTAGTTTGCAGAGTGCCTCGGCGCTGGGGAGCTCAGGATGGCTGAGTATCTCATCTGTGTCCTACCCAGGTATGCGAACAGCCTGGGGTGTCAGTCCCTGTGGTAGGCTGCAAATGTCCCAGGTAATTCCTGCTCCGAGGACCAGCAGAAAGGCTGGAGCAAAGCCTGGAGAGAGGTCTTGGAATGGGCCTAGGGTGCCAGCAAGGGCCCAGCAAGTTACTGCCCTTAAGTCCCCACCTGATCCCCAGTGGAAGGGCTCGGGGATGGCAATGTGTGTTTACTTGCAGGACAGCAGGATTTCAGGGCTGTATTTTCATGTTTAAGGAACAGCAAACCCCTCACCTGGCTGCTTGACGCCTCTGTCCCCAGCTGCTTCTTCTGGTTCTGCTTGTCCCTGTCCCGCTGCAGCTGGAAGCGGTGGTGCAGACGGGGGTAAAGCTGCAAGGACAAGAGGAGACGGTCCCACCGTGCGGCTGCTCCTCCCGGCCCTGCTTGTGGGGCAGGAGGATGCTTGGCAGGGCCTGAGCTGCTCCTCTCTTCCCGGCTGCTCCCTGTGCCGGCAGCTCCCGGGCTGGACCTGCCTTGAGCTGCTGGTGGCCTGGCCCCAGGCGCCAGGACCGCAGTGTCCTCGGTCTCTGCTTCCATCTGCTGGACAAGCCCAGGCTCTGGCTCCCTCCCTTTTCCCCTCGCAGCTACAGGGATGTGATCAGCTCCTTTTCCACTGTGTTGCTGTAACTCCCCCCATGGAAAACCCTTCTGCATGTGTGGATGGCAGGAAAATTTCTGTGCAGATCCAGCTCTCCATGGTGAGGCACTGGGAGCGGGCTGAGCACAGTGTGAGAGTAACCTCCCGCCGTGCACACACATGCACCCTGCAGCATCTCCTTTGGGCCTTCACGAGTAAAATCCGTGGCTTTACTTTCACCAGTAGGAACACGGGAACGGCCGGAGGGACGTGCGTGAGAAGCTGGGCAAGGAGAAGGTGACCGTTTCCTTCAGGGTTTTCCTCGGCATCTGGCAGTCAGGGGTGTGGGCACGTGCTAGGCGGGGAACTGCATCACGCTGCTGTATCCGGCAGTCCTGGAAGGTGTTGCCTTCATGCGCCTGTTCTGAGCTCTGGCATCCTGAGGCGGCAAATTTGTGTGCTGGGGAGAACAGCTCCTGCTCGTTGCTTGGTTCAGATCTGCTCCCAGAAACTTGCCCTGTTCAATAATGGGGGCTCCTGGAGAGGCTTGAGGATTGAGCTACATGGCTCTCCTGAGGTTTATTTCTCTCATCTTGAGCACAACAAGAGTGTTCCCCAAAGTTGCCCATTTCTGGAGGGCTGGGAGATGGTGCTGCCCCCTTGGAAGGTCATAAACAGTGTGGTCTTCCCAAGGGTGCTCCAGTTGTTTGCATGTGGTAACAGACCCTAGCCCCGGCAGAGGAATTCCCTTAGCCTTCCTTTAACCTCTGCGCAGTGAGGGGACAGCGACAGACAGCAGGTTTGTTTCAAACAAACAAAAAAACCCCCAAAACTGAGCAGTGCAGCCCATAGATCCACACGTAAGCGTTGCTTGGTGTTACACAGCGGCTGTTTGCACATGCAAGCTCAATAGCACTCCCTGCTCCCCGAGCTCAGTGACCAATGTCATCTTTGTCCTGATGGCCTGGACACGGCCGACTGACCTCCCCTTGTCACAGTGCGCAACGTAGCATCGGGATACCTGAATTTCTCTAAGCAAGTTACCAAATTCCTCTGAAACTGCTGTAATGCCTTCGCAGGGTGTGTTGTGTCCCGAGTGCTTGTTCCAGAGGAGGACAGCGTTGTCTTTATTAATCTAATTAACAAGCATCTACTTGGCGGTGCTCATTGAAGACTCTGGGTTGAAACACTACTTATGTTTGAAAATAGACCCTGCTTTTCTCCAACTAGAAGCGAGCTGTTAATGCCTGTGAGAATAACTAGGGAAATGGAGGCGCCGTGTCTGGAATTGTGTTCTGCATCCTTGCAGGAATCTTGGAAAATCCCTTTTTGCCTTAGTTCTAATCTAAGACTTTCTTTGCTAAGCAAAGAGTGTCTAGAAAACCTGTGCCTCCCATGCAGGAAGAGTAAAATGTCCTTATGGCTGCGTTCTGAGATGATGTGGCTTCTTTTTGGTGGTAAAGGTATTTTCCCATTCCACTGCAGGTGCCCCAGATGCTGCTTTCTTCAGTGCTTCCATTTGAAAGAACAGACTTCTCCTCTTTTTTTCCCCCTGGCATTAGGTTCCCAGGCAGCCGCAGGAGATGTGACCATCGTGGCCGCTCCGGAGAACACGACGGTGGTGGCGGGCGAGAGCGCGGTGCTGGAGTGCATGGCCTCCGCCAAGCCCACCCCCTTCGTCTCCTGGATACGCCAGGGTGAGTGAGCCGCACGGAATTCCGCTTGGCTTGCCAAGAGGAACCCGGGGACACTTGGTAAAATATATCGAAAGGAGCAAAAATAGGTGGGATGAGACGGGTGCTTTTTACATGAGTGCCTCACTGCAGAAGTAGTGTCACAGTGGCCTGGGTGTCCTTGCTAAATTGGAGTCACTAATTAAATCCCGAATAGTACAAAGCACTTGAACTGTTTGACCTGTGAAATATCGAGATTCTGGTGCCCGGATGCCTTTTGATCCAAACGGGTCGTGCCCATATTGGAGAAGCAGGAGCGGAGCAGATCACGAGATGATGGGGTCAGGTCTGGGTCCTCCTCTGGTGCCTCAAGAGGTTAGAGGGGATTCTGTGAACTCTGCCATTGCCCTGGGGAAATAACTTGTGTTGCCTTGCAGGATTATAAAATGCAATCAGATCTGCAGGATTATAAAATGCAATCAGATCTGTTGATCATTGGGGAGGCTTTGTAGTTTTTGTTATAAAATCTTGGTATGATCAGATTCCCCGAACCCAGGAAATGCAGCAATGGAGCAGGTGCTCAGGCCTCCTCAGAGGGTGCAAACGAGCCTGGCTGGCCTGCATTTTTCAAGGGCTCAAAGCCTAAGTTATGAGTGTCTCTTCATTGAGTGTCCTCTCGTTGAGTGTCACAGAAACTCTAATGATAGACCTTCTCTGCTCAGGAATTGCTGCTGCTCCCCCCCCCCCCCCGCCCCCCCCCAAAGAAAAAAAAGGCTCTCACACATTTTCATAAAGCTGGGTCAGGATGTAAGACTTTTCTTTCCCTTGTAACCATTTATTGTATTTGGTCTTCAGCCCAGACTTGTCCACAGGCAGTGATTTCAGCGTATACAAATATTACCCTTCACTTCAGAAAAGGAGCAAAAAGAAATCTCTAAGGACTGACTTTGGAAATCAAATCAGGGAAGGTTCAATGTTCTGGCAGAACTATTTCTGGTTTATCATGGGTTCTGCAAACTTAGTTAGAACTATGCAGCTTTCACATGTTGAATCGTTTAATCATTATTACGGTAAGGGCTGCTGATGCTCAGAGGAGATATAATCAGAGTCAATCAACACTGGGAAAAGGTTTTCTTTGGGTGCTGGTGGTGGATGGTGGGACCAGTTCCTTGCATGCAACAATATATAATAACGTTGCTTTCCATGAGTGCATTAAGGAGCAGGCTGAGTTGCAGGTGACACCTCGTGTAGGGAACAATGAGGGTTGTGGCTCCGAGTTGTCAGGTTGGCTCTTGCCAAGCTCCGTGGGGTCAGCTAATTGCTGCCATCTGGAGCCAGTTTTCCGAGCTGCTCCTGTGCAAGTGGGGAGTCCAGATCTCTCTTCCTGCATTGCATGCACAGCCGTTCATGTGGAGTGTCAGTGCACAGCCCGTTGAACACCACGCAAAGGCCCCTGAAAGCCAGGGAAGGGGCAGAGCATTTCATCCCGGCTCTGTTCCCTGCCGGTGGTGCTAAGTAGGAGCATATGCTCACAGGGCAGGCAAGAGCTTGTGTCTATCTAAAGGGAGCCTGTGCTGGAACACCTGAGCCCCGAGGAAAACCAGGCATGTTCCTGACTGCTCTCAGGCACGAGTTGAGGATGTTTGTCACCTCCTGAGCTGGGCCTGCAGGACGTGCCCATCTTTGCTGCAGTGTTTCCTTCTGAGGCAACAGCAGTGTCCCGCGGGCAGCTGCTCTCCAGGACCTCTGGTGTGTACTTGGGGCTGCTGGTGGATGCGAAAGTGGCTGCTTTTCACACCTCCTCCTGCCCCAAAGAAAAGGCTCACGTGGGAAGTCCACCCGGTACAATCCACGTCAGGGATGGGCCGTGCAATCCAGCTGCCTGATACCTTACAGATGAGGAACCAGCCTGCGTGGGGAGGGGAAAGAAAGGGGGATTAGGAAGCTGGGAGTATCTGGGTCCACTTGCAAGCCCTGAGTTCCCTGAGTTGCTGGTGGGTTAGTGCCCTCCACAACGTCCTTGTCAACACTAAGAGGAACCAAGGGGCATTTTGGGCTTTGGCTCGTCCGCATTGAGTCAGGCTCCCTCCCCGACTGGTGCACATGTTTTTTTTTCCTGCAGATGGGAAGCCCATTTCCACGGATGTGATTGTGCTGGGCCGGACAAACCTCCTCATTCCCTCCAGCCAGCCGCACCACTCGGGGGTCTACGTTTGCCGGGCTAACAAACCCCAGACCAGGCAATTTGTTACTGCCGCGGCCGAGCTCCGGGTCCTTGGTGAGTAGAAAGCAGGATAAACACCCCGCAGTTTCCTGGCCAGCATTTCTACCTGGATTACTTGGATTGACATCCAGAAGCTCAACAAGAAGTTGTGTATGTGCTGGGCCAAACGGGAGCGCGGTTGGAGCCAAGAGGATCTAGCCGAGGATGGCTCTTGATGGGAGCATCGTGTCTGTAATTTGGGGGATAGTTCCTTTTATTTACTGAATCTTGATATTCCTCGTTCTTGCTCTCCCAGGTTCCCCCATGAAAATCTGTATTGGCAGTTCACTTACAGCATTGTGGAAGCCGTAAGGGAGAGCAGCCTAGGATCTGGAAGTGTAGCACATGGTTGATGCAGAATTTATTTTTCCTTTTGGACAGAGTCTAAATTAAGCCTCTAGAGTCTGCCTGGCAAATCCTATCTTGTAAGCAAAGCTGCTCCTGAATAAAACATAGTGCAGGACGCAGAGGAGAAGGGATTTATTCTGCTCTTTTATTTTCTGTTTTCCTTTTCTGCTTCCTGCATTAATTTCTCCTCTCTCCTTGCAGCTCTGCCCAGTATCTCGCAGGCTCCCGAGACGATCTCGCGCACGCGGGCGAGCACAGCGCGCTTCGTGTGCCGGGCGGAGGGCGAGCCGGCCCCTGCCGTCCACTGGCTGAAGAACGGGCAGCCCATCCTCTCCAACGGGCGTGTGAAGGTGCAGAGCAGCGGGAGCCTCGTGGTCAACCAGATCGGCCTGGAGGATGCCGGCTACTACCAGTGCGTGGCTGAGAACAGCCTGGGCACGGCCTGCGCCACCGCCAGGCTCTCGGTGATCGTGCGCGAGGGCCTGCCCAGCGCTCCCAAAAGGGTCTCGGCTGTGTCCCTCTCCAGCACCACGGTCCTTGTGTCCTGGGAGCGGCCGGAGCACAACAGCGAGCAGATCATTGGCTTCTCCTTGCATTACCAACGGGCTCTGGGTAGGTGCTGTCCGTCTCTGCAGCAGGGCTGCAGCTTTTGGGGGTAGGAATGTGTGTGCTGCTGAGGCTGGGCAGGGAATGCCCTTCCAAAGCCAGGAGGTCTGCACTTGATACTGCACTTTCTACGACTGCCGGAGTTCCCGTGTCCTGCTCTTATCGTGGTCTCAGCAGAGCGGTGCTCATAGTGAAGAATGGGGTGTGTTAGTCCAGATAGTCCGGGCTGCCCCAGCTTGGGTTTTGCAACACCTCTTCAGAGAGCCACTCACATACTCCTGTTTCTGTTCTGAGAGAGTCGGGAGAGTTTTAGTGCATCCAGATGGTTGGGAAGCAGTCCAGGGTGTCTCCTAGGTTGCGTTCTCTCCCCTTTCTGGAGGCACAGTTCTTGTGGCAGAGTAGGACTGTTTCTGAGGAAACTACATTCCTGTACCTGAAGGAAGCGGAGGCTTCTGGCTCTGCTTACGTGGTTCTCTGCATTTGGCTGCTGGTACCTTCCCCCTGCAGAGCCCCCAACCCTGGCAGATCTTAGGTAGGTGGTGGAGTCATCACAGGTACAAGCCACAGGGCAGCCACAGGAGCTCTTGAGTTGCTTCCCCAGATAGTGCTAAGTGTGAAGGAATTCCAGCTAGTTGAGCCCATCCCATTGCAGGCAGAGGAATTTTCCAAATTCCCTAGAGTGCAGCGTGCTCCAGTACCTGCAGCTTAGTAGACGTGCGCTGACTTGTTGCTCTGCAGTAGATGGCTATGAGGCTGTTTGGCGTATTCTGGTGGGACCAGGCACTAGAAACTTCCTTTCTTTTCTTGTTTTCCACCATTTTGATTTTATACGCAAAATGTGTGGCATTAATGAAGATATTAAACAGCTGTATCATGTCCAGAGATGGTCACTACATTTTCCACACTCAGAATTTGAAGTAAGCTGGGTCTCTTGAAGAGTAACCAGCAAGCCAATACCCTTGTTGAAATGTTTGCAGAGCTCTTCTAACCCAGACTGGTAACTTCTGCTGCCTTAGAATGGATTAAGAAGCTTGAGTCAGAGGGGACACATTCAGCCATTGAGTATTTCTACCCAAAGAGTTCCTATAAGAGATGAAATTTGTGCAACTGCTGCAGTAATTGGCAATAACACAATGATTTTGAAGGTGATTGCTGTGGACTTTGAATGATTTTGCAAAAAGTGTTTTGGCATTTTACTGACCTGCTGATTTGTGTTTTCTTGGCTCTAGGAACAGATAATGTGGAGTACCAGTTTGCAGTCAACAACGATACCACCGAGCTGCAAGTCAAGGACCTAGAGCCCAACACCAACTATGTCTTCTATGTGGTTGCATATTCCCAGCTTGGAGCAAGCCGGACATCCTCTTCTATCATCGTTCAGACCCTGGAGGATGGTGTGTTGAATTGAATGGGTCCTGGGGTCTGAAAAAATGTTCTTACCCAGTTTCATGATGCACCATGAATATGGCTTGGAGAGCAGTGCTAGCAGCTCCCAGAAACTTTTTCTCGCTGCTCCTGTGGCTCCTTGCCATAAGCCCTTGGAAAAAAAAAAAAGAATGTGAGGAATGTGTAGCAGAATCATAAAATGAAAAGATCACTCTGGTCTCATCATCAGCTTGGGTGATGAAGAGCGTGAAGATGACCTTGCTGAGCCTGGGGCACCGGAGAATCCTGCAGGAGCTGTAGTCAGCTCCTCTGGGCTTTCCCCTAGCTAATGCAATATTGCTCCAGGCTTGACTCTGGGCCAGACTTGATTTAAACTCAGAGGAAAGGCATCTGTTGCAATTTGTAGGCCTGGGATCAAGCTTAAAGTTGAGTCCCTCAAGAATGAGTAGTTTGTGTTGATTTTTATCTTTTGTCACGTAGTGTTTTGAGAGCGATGCAGGCAGAGAGCCTGGAGAACGGCTGCCCCACAGAGGGGCACACATACAGGGAACAACAAACTGCAAGACATTGGCACACCGAGGTGTTTTGGCAGACCCCATGTGGGCTCCTGCTACGTTGCAGGGTGCATTATATGCTGTCAATATTCCTGATGCAGTGACCTGTGTGATCCTTGTGCCTGTGTCTGAGAAACTGCCTGCAGCAGAGATCTGTGACTCGAGGAGACTCCTGAGGCGATTCTCAGGCTGTTTCCCCAGCTGGGCCAGCAGCGGATACTGGTTTGTGCTACACTGATCCTGTGTCCCCTCCACTCTTCTCCCCACTGCAGTGATTCTTGACTGTTGAATTTGACTGGAGTTGACCAGTCGTTTGAAAATGTCATTTGCTCTCTGAAGGGAGGCCAGACACTTGTGCTTCCCTCGGGAGCAGCAGGTTGGGAGCACAGGTGAGCTGTGCTGTGCCTGCAGCCTTCACTGAGGCCTGCCCAAGGCCTGCAGGATGCTCCCTGAGCTGCTAAAAAGTTGTGGCTCTTCTGCTGCCCCACGACAGCATCTCAGCAGCAGCTGCTGCAGGGCCGAGACCAGCCCGTGGCCCCTGGCCAAGCAGAAGAGCTGGCAGGGACGTTGTGCTCCAGCCTTGCCCCCGTCCTCGCTGACTTCCCGCTGTTGCTTCTGCGCAGTTCCCAGCGCTGCCCCTCAGCTGTCCCTGTCGAGCATGACTCCTGGTGACATCCGCGTGACGTGGCTGCCGCCTCCTCCGGAGCTGAGTAACGGCAAGATAACCAAGTACAAGATCGACTACTGCACCCTCAAGGAAGGTGAGGTGACGTCTTCTGCTCTGGCAGTGTCAGCTGCAGGTTGTGTTGAGGGGAAGGAGAGCAGCCCGTCCTGCTGCTGGTGGTCACAGAGGTGCTGATCCCTCCTTTGGCCTTTCCCTGTTGACCTTTCCCTGTGTGCACTGAGCCTGTGTCCCCAGGGAACCGGTCTGATGCTTGTGTGTTTGTGCTACCCCGTGAGGGCCTGTCCCACAGGACTGCCCTGGGGTGCCACCTGCACCCTGCTTGGGGGAGAGAAGAGCTTCATACTTGTGGGAGAGAAGGGCAAATACATTTGATTCCTTTTAAGTGGAACCTAATCAAGGTTATCCTTGTGTAAAACAAGGAAGTGTCCTGCCAAGGCTGTATTACCCTGTTTTATCTGGTTTTATTTATGTTGTTAGATGCTCTTAGAAGCCTTCAGCAGGGAGGGTAACATTTCGCTGGGCTGAATGCAGTTGTTTCCATTCCATGTGTGCTCACTTTGCAAATCCTTTTGGGTATTCAGTTTTAAGACCATCAAAGCTCTGCAGCTTATCACTTCCCAGGCTCACGCGTCTTGCTAAGAGAGGGATGGGGAACGTGATGAAGTGCTGGACATGTTCCCATGCGTTTGATCTGGATTAGTATGCTGCACTGTGAATTCTGGTTCTTGTTTTCTCACCCTGTGACTGCATGTGGCTCTGTGGCACCATAAAACTGTGGAAACTTTTGCAGTGCAGAGACTGAACACTCCACAGTTCAGTGTTACACAGCAGAGTTGCTCAGTCACAGTCGAGCTCACGCCACGTGAAGCACAAAAGCAAGACCTGTGTGTTCGTGATGCAGTGATACGGTCAGGCTTGCTGGAGGTTTGTATCTGCTGCAGTGCAAATCTCAGGCCATTATCATTTTATATTTCCCATTACCTCCCTTATGAACATGGCTGGGCTGAAAAGGGAACAATAAAACTGTACCTGGCTTGGTAAAGGTGTGATTTTTTTGCAGAAAACAAGGCTGCTAGACAACTGTGGGTCAAGTTAAGGTGATGGTTTAAATATGGGATGTGAAGCGCAGGAATCTACCCTGTGCTGTGCTCCTGTTCTGCCCTCCCGTCAATCAGCAGGGTTTCTACCACCCTTGCTCCGGGCAGGCTCCGTGCTGAAGGCATCCTGTGGGTCTGGAAGCAGCGAAGGGGGTTGGCCATCAGGGTATCAACTTTGTCCCATTTTTAGCATTTCTATTTCTAGCTTTTCCCAACGTCGTGGGGTTGCATTAGGCAAAGCCAAACCAGCCGCAGACCTGTGGCCACAAGGGACTTGCTGGACTTTGTGTGCCTGCTTGGGTGCATTTCCCTTTGGCTGAGACAAAGATGTCACTGGTGTCACCTTGGTTCCAGCAGATCAGGTCACGTCCATCGAGGTGGGTGGAAACGAGACGCAACTCACGCTGTACTCGCTGCATCCCAACAAAGTGTACAAGGTGCGCATTGCAGCCAGCACCAGCATGGGCTACGGGGCCCCTTCCGAGTGGACCCAGCATCGGACTCCGGATAGGGACAACCAGACACACGGTAGGAGCCAGGTGCTGCCCGGGACACAGGGAGGGGGGTGCATGACCCAAGGCTGCGTCAGAAATAATTTGTCTTCATAAGGGAATTGTAACCATTGCTGTTTGTTAGAGCAGATATGCACCATTAGCGTTCTGCTCAGCTGCCACTGTACGTCCTGCCTGCCTGAGTGATAGGTCCTTCTCCCATCCCTGTGTTGCTGGAAAACACACAAAAAATACCAAAATACCAAAAAAATACCAAAAGGAATGTTGTGAAACTTTAGATTGGGTAAATGACCGGGTGTTTTTATCTTCTTTTGTTCCTGCAGTGCCATTTGCCCCGACAGAATTGAAAGTGCGAGCGAAGATGGAGTCTCTGCTGATAACGTGGCAGCCCCCAGCCAACCATGCGCAGATATCAGGCTACAAGCTCTACTACCGGGAAGTGGGCACAGAGGAGGCCAGCGATGAAAGCCCTTTGGATGGCGCTGAAGACGAGAGCTGGGACGTGGGGCCCATAAAGCTAAAGAAGAAAGTGAAGCAGTATGAACTGACTCGTCTAGGTTAGCTGGTTACATCTCCTCCTAAGCAATGGGAAAGGGTCTCTCCTTTGCCTTGTGTAGCAAGGACAGACTCTAGGAGGCTCAGAAATATCTGCTGAGCATCCCTCCTGCACCTTTTTAAGGGCATCCAAAGTGGGACTTAAAGGGCATATTCTTAGAAGAGTTTCAAAGATGGAAATTCCTCAAGGCAGCATAGCAAGGGATTTATTTTTAATGGAGGATTACTAATAATAGTAGTACTTAGTACTTGTAAGTAGCAAGTAAGTATAGCAACTTAGTGTTACTAAATACCAATATATGATTTAAATCAAGTTAGTATATTGTATTGTGTCAGTGTGAGAGTGTGTAGATTAAAATCTCCAGTCAGGAAAATGGGAAATTTCTCCTTGCCTGTGCATTTCTAAGACACTCCATAATTGGATACTGCTTGAAATCTCTCCCCATTAAAATTCAGTGATAAGTTCATTCACCACATACTGATTTGGGAGTCCGTAATCTCCTCCACCTAAGGGAAAGGGGCAGAAGAAAGTGAGTGTCCAAGGCTGGAGAGCAGGTTTGCTTTACAGGCAGATCCACCTGTCGGACTGAGGTGCATTTGGTGTTTCCTGTAAGGAATTATGCTTTTAACATACAGCATGTATGTTATGCATGGCATGGAGTTCAGTGTGAAAAGACAGTTTGTATCATCGCTGGGTAGGTTTCCAGTTCCAACTCATGTTGTATCCATCCTGCTATTGAGAGGGTGTTAACAGTTATGAGCTTCTCTGAAGAATTCAGGTCTGCAATTATTGTGCTGAGGAAACCACATGTGAACATCATCAGGCGCTGCTCTAACCACTGGCAAATCAGTCAGTGCAGGGGCTCGGGAGTGGCCTGAATTGGTTCCAAATGCTCTGGCACCGCAATGCAGAGGAGACTGCTTGTTCTTCTGTAATTACTTCCTTAAATTTGGGCATCCATCAAGGCGTGATGGTTTCCTTATGATCTGCCTGGTGTGTATTAGCTCTCATTTGTGTCAGGAAGTGGGTCTCGGGTTTCTTCCAGCCGTGGATGGTCCCGTTTCTGCCTCTTCCTCTGAGTGACTTGCTCCTGCATGCAGGCAGCAAGGAAGGGGGCAGGAATCTGGCTGTGCTGTGGAAGGCAGGAGCCTGGACATGAAACCAGAGGAGAGTGGAAGGGATTTAGAAGCATTTAGATTCATGGAAGGGAATTCCCAGCTTGGGGAATCCTAGGGATCTACCTACTGATCTTGTAGGCAGAGTGGGTAGGAATCTCAGAAAAGAGTGGCAGAACTAACCTGATCCTCACTGTGGCCCACGGCAGATGGGGAGCCAGCTGAGTGGGTTCCCAACTCAGGATGGCTGCCTGCAACTTTAGATCCCTGCATAAAAACCTGTTTTGTGGGAATATCTCTGCATACCAGGGTAAGGGAGCTGCACGTGATCAAAGGTGCTGTCTGGCAGGAGAGTCAGACATGTCCAAGGTGGGCATGAGATGGGTGTCACAGCTGAAACTACACGTTGGGTCAAGCAGTTGGAGAGAATGTGTGAAGAGATGCCCTGGATGTACAAGGCTGTAACCAGTGAAGAGTCCTGCACCCATTTCCTGCCTTGGTGTCCCCGTGATGTCAAGGTGTGTTAGGCTGCAGTAAGGGGCTATGTAGACTCGTCCAGTTTAAGGTTCTTGTTTTGTCTTCTCTTGTACTGGCTTGAGCTGCTGCTAAATGGTACCAGCTCTGTCTGTCACCTCTTCTCTGTCCTGTAGGCATCTTCTTCCTCAGTGCTCCCCTTGCCCCTTGATTTTCCCTTTGGTAGCGATCCAGCTCTTTCCTTTAGAGCTGCAGGAAATCAGGGAAGACCTTTTCTCCCCTGCTCTTGCTGACCTCTAGAGCATACCTTGTATCTCCTTGGTGAAAAGGCATCAGTGAAATTACTGACGATAATTCTTGTATCTAGTCTGGGAGTTATGTGCTGCAACCTTGTCAGAGAGGTGGGTGGCTGTTCAAAGGCACATAAGAAATGCAGCAGTTTTGTGATCCTGCGACATCAAAAGAATGTTATCCCGAGTCACTGTGAGTGCTTATTCCTGAGAAATCCTCATTGACTTCCATCTATGTCCTAGCAATTAGCCTCTGTAATGAGGTGCAGCTACCAGGGCCATCATCTACATGAAAAATAAGCAAGAAGGAACTGATCCTGTTCTCCACATTCCCGTGAAGGAAGAGTGCATTCCTCTGGGAGTGACTCCATGGGGATCAGGGTATTTTCTCACTTACAGTGAAGTATGGCGTGGAGCCTACATGAACACCTTCAAAAGTGAATGGAACAACATACTTAGCATATTGGATGTATTATAGTCATCCAGATTAGTGATTTGAAATGATCTGGACTAGATTATTCTGCTTATATTTAATGTATGATGGAATGAAACAAAATACATCTGTTTTCATGCTGCCTGCTAGCTTCTTGACAGCTTGATAGAGCTTTATGTCTGCATATTCTATGAACGTGAACATCTGGGTCTGTGTATAAAAAGTGAAGCCAAACCTCTGACGGAGAAATCCAAAATTCCTTTATTTTCAGAATATGAGTCACTTGATCATGTGGCAGAGCTGCTGTGGCTTCAAGTGCAAGCGACTGCCTTATCAGTCCTACTCCACATTACCCGAATTACCTGCACATCCTGAAAATTACCTATTGGTCCGAGGCCCACCAATTTCTGATAGAAACGTTTAACTGTGTCTGGGGGCAATGGTCTGCCGCTGGTGGCTGCACATCGGGACCTGGTGCAGGATGCAGAGAGGGGCTGCTTGTTTGGGGGCTGCTGGTGTGTCCTTAAAGCATCTAGCATTAGGACGGCCAGAGACTGCCCTGGGTTGTCTTCTGCTCCTACCCATACAATTTGCAAGCGGTGAATGCTCACACCGACACTTTCTGCCTCTTCCCGTTTGTGTGGATTTGTGGTTTTCTCTGGCAGCTGGGATCAGCGAGGCCGTTCCTGCAGCAGGGCAGCATCCAGGGTGCTGGACAGAGCTGTTTGCTCCGGGGATTCTTTGAGGGAGAAAAATGTGGTCGAGCTGTTTTTATATTCTGAGCGTGCACATGTGTTGTGGAGCAGTGAGAGCCTGTGGTAATTGGTACCATTAGCCTCTGGGAGCATAATCAGCGCAATAATAATAAAATTGGCAGCAATAAGGAAGGCTTTGTGCTGCTTACGTTGGCTGGCAAAGGGAGCAGTGATCTAGCAGGGCAGGGAATGAACAGGCACAACCCAAATTAACAAAGTTGATCAGCGCATTGCAGCGAGGGAAACCAAAAGCAGTCTGGACTGCTCTGCTCATCGGGCTGGCTGCCAGGGAGAGTAGCTGGCGACTCGTATTTGAGAACTCTGCATCTCCCCAATTATTTCTTCCATTAAATGCCTCCATGAAAAGAAGACTCTAGAGTTTCCTTGACACAGCACAGGAGTGTTTCAGCTGACGAAGGGCAGGAAAAGAGAGGGAAGAGAGTGTTGAAACAACCAGAGCTCTGCTGGTGAGCAGGGCACCCTGTCCTGCAGCTGTATTGGGGTGAAATGGGGAGGCTTTTGTTGAGGATCCTCCAGTTTCTGGTGTGGGAGTTGTGTGCACTGTTGCTTTTCCAGTTGCAAATGAGGGAGCTCTATTTGCTGTGGAGGCAAAATAGCAAAAGCTCCTGGAGACTTAAATAACAGGGAATGTAAGGACTTGCTGGAAGGATGATGATGAATAAATGAGCAAGGGCTTTGGATTTGAGAGGTATTGCATAATTTTGGAGAGAGGAGAGAATGTCTTCACTCAACAGCAGGAAACAACAGAAAGTGCTCGCTTGCCTGAGGTGACGCTGATGAACCCTTGGTAGCTGTAAGGCCATTTGCTACCGCTGAGTTTCAGCTGCTGTAAAAGGGGAGGACAGACCTAGGGAGCAGCTGTGAGCGTGAGCAAGCATGTGTTTGAGTGGAAGGGAAGGACCAGATTTGTTTTAACAAATGCAACCCTGTTTAAGCAGCTTTCTTGGATGGAGGGAGAAGGTGGTCAGATCTAAGGGAAGGTGTCTCACTAAGGAAAGGTTCCAAAACTGTCCCCTCCCTCCTCCCTACCCAAAACACAACCAGAACAAGAACAGGCAAACCCGATTTGTTTGTTTGCTTGTTTTCCAGTTCCTGGGAAGCTCTATGAGGTGAAGCTGGTGGCATTTAACAAGCACGAGGATGGCTATGCAGCAGTTTGGAAAGGCAAAACGGAAAAGGCACCTGTGACAGCAGTAGGTGAGAACTGGCTTTTCTTGGTGGTTCATCTCTCCTGGCATGTGGCTTCGAGGGAAGGCTAAAGCCAGAGAGGAAGGACTTTGAGGGGCTTCACTAAAATGGGGAAGGTCACAACATAAGGGAACTCCCTGGGACAGTCACTGTGCATCACACTGGAGGAATTAAGTTAGGAAGGACAGAAAGGAGCAGAATATCCCCCTTTTGTCCTGTTTTTGGGTAGGCTTCACCGTCGTTTTTCTGGACACGTTAATGGTTCTGGGATAGTCTTGGGAAGTAGCCAGATAACCTAGGTTCCATATGTGACACTATAAAGACCCCAGAACATAAATGAGTGGCATGATGTGTTTGTCACAGTATTATAAAGTTAAAGCTCCAAACACCCAGGCCCCATTTCCAGCTCTGCTAGTCTGTTGTGGGATGCTGAACAGTCTTGGCCCTTCCTTATCCTTTGATGGGCCTGTTGAGTTGGTAGCCTGGAAATTGGCCTTTGCTCCACAGTCATAGACTGCCGGACTGGTGTGTGGGTCTTCCTAACCCACCCAGATCCCCTGGATGAAGAACTGCATGCTCTTCAGACCCATGCACCAAAAGGCTAAGTGGGATTTCCAAGCTTAAACTAGAGACCTACATATTTGTGCAAACTTCATAAATGAGGCCACTTTCTTCCACGTTTTCTCTGTGTATGGCAGCTGTCCCTTGTGTTGTTCACACCTCTGCATCTCTTCTTTCTGCACTGCAGATCCCCCGGTGCAGAAGGGTCCTCCACTGCCTCCAGTTCAAGTCTATGCAGAATCCAACAGCTCCACTTCCATATGGCTCAGGTGGAAGAAGCCTGACTTCACCACAGTCAAGATTGTCAACTACACCGTGCGCTTCAGCCCTTGGGGACTTAAAAACGCCTCTCTCGTAACGTACTATACCAGGTAAAGTGGGATGCTAAGGATTCATCTGCCAGAGAACCACCCCTGTCATGAATAACACAAAGATGGAAAAACCTGCAGAGAAGGGCCAGCGTTGAGCACGTCCCTGAGTGTTTCCTGTGCTGCAGTCTCTACCTTGATCACAGATATTCAAAGCTAGTAAAAAGTGACGCTGTGACTTCCACAGCAGGCAATTGTCCATAACTGAAATGCCAGAGGCTGTGAAGCCAGGTGCAGCTGTGCCCAGTCTCACAGCATTCCTGGTTTCACAAGTTTGATTGAAAAACTGCAATAGTTTGGCAGTAATAATAATTTGGTAATACACTTTAAAAGCTAGCTTCCTGTGCAGGTTTTTAGCTTTTAGCCAGCCGTGATTTGAAGCTTTTCTCTGCATGTGTTCCTGGAGGCTGCTTTGCTCTCTAACTGGTTGCAGGAGATGGAGCTTTAGGTGAAGCATCAAATACTTCAGAGTTAAGATAATCTCTTATAGTGTTTCTGGGAAGGTGCTAAAGTGGGAGAAGGTGCTAAAAGGCGGTGGGTGGGAGAGCCTGCTAGTGTTCATGGCCTTGTGGATGCCTCCTGTTTCGGCAGCTCGGATGAAGACATCCTCATTAGTGGACTGAAGCCCTACACCAGGTACGAGTTTGCAGTTCAGTCCAACGGTGTCGGCATCGATGGGCCCTTCGGCAGCGTGGTGGAGCGGTTCACCCTTCCAGACCGTGAGTTTTTATGAGGACTGAATCCTCATTTCTTTTCCTGAGTTTCTTCTGTCTTGGCTCTGAATGGTGTGGTGATCTCTGATCACCTCCAAGTTCTGATATAGCCACGTATGTAAAAGGAAAAGCCACAGGGATGGGGTGTTCGCCTAGGAATGTTCTCTCTAAGGTGAGCAATGCAGAACAGCATCAAACTCAGTGATGTGGCTCCATCCGCACTTCCATGCTTCCCTTGACTAGCCAAGGTGCTCATGTCAGCTCCCCAGTGGGACTAGGTGCTCTCCCCTCTGCGCTGTTCACAGCGTGTTTGGGTGGGATGTCCAGCCACCCAGCTCACCCCTCATTTCATGCTTGCAAACATGACTGTGGCACCACTGAAAGGACTCAAGGTCACCTGCGGGTTGACTTGATCTCCTCCTCATTTCTGCTGTTCACACAGATCTTTCCCTGTGTCCACCAGGTCCTTCAACTCCTCCGTCTGACCTGCGGCTGCACCCGCTCAACCCCTACGCCGTGCAGGTGCACTGGTGCCCCCCCGCCGAGCCCAACGGCATCATCGTGGAGTACCTCATCCTGTACAACGCCAACAACACGCAGCCCGATGACATGTGGACCCTGCTCACACGTGAAGGTGAGCAGGAGAAGCCCAGGGAACGTTTGGCTTGCTGGGAATGCTTCTGAGACAGAGTGCGGTGGATGTAGGGAGAACTGAGGAGAGCATATGGAGAAGGCCACGAGAGAAGAGCTGGGGCTCATGCCCATACTGAGTTGCCAGGCTCTTGCTCTCTCTGTTTTGGGAAGAAAACTACATTATAGGGGAGGGCAGAGTGAAGATTGTTGTTTACTCAGGGTCCAAGGTGCACCTCAGGTGTTATAGACAGGGGAGACCTCTCTGAGAGGCTCGGTTTGAAGCAGAAAACCTCCTTGGCTGGCTCACCACAGGGGCAGCCACTCAAGGAATTGGGCTTAATAGGGCCCAACTCATATAAATGGAATCATAGCTAAATTGGTCAGGGCTTTAAAATGTATTTTAGTTAGCCATCAAAGTTAATGTTTCTTTCACTTCGTTTTTTTTTTTTTTTTTCCTCACTTGGAGCACATACAAATACATATTCAAGGAGCTTTCCAGTCAACTTTCTCATGGTTTGCTCTGGGTCTTGCTCCTGGTTGTAGAGGAGAGTTCAGGAGCATGGCTACTGTGAGACTGGAAATCTTACACGTCTAGGGCTGAAACAGTCACTATCATCCTGCAAATGTCCTGTGGATACAGGCTACCAGCCAGTAATTCCTAGGAGAACATATGCCAGCAGCACCACATGCAGCCTTGTATCAGCTCTTTAAGCAGAAAATTCATTAACTTCTAAGGGGTGTATGAATTATCTCTTAGAGCACATGGCATAAAATCTGTCACTTCTGAGGATCCAACAGAATTTCACTGCTGCTTTGCTGCAGCCCTCTGAATAAACCTGAAATTGCATGTACTATTCTTCTGACTGGCTTTTGTTCAGGAAATATCTTCAGCACTGAAGTGCACGGCCTGGAAAGTGATACCAGATACTACTTCAAGATGGGAGCAAAGACAGTCGTGGGATCTGGGCCCTATTCGAACGTGAAGGATGTGCACACCCTGCGGGAGAAGCTCTCTGGTAGGAGATTCCGCTTAGTCCTGGGTTGGGATTGAGTTGTGTTGGGGAAGACTGCAGGTTGTCACCAGCAGCACTTCTCTGTGTGCCACTAACTGCCCGATTTCACCTCCATGAGCAGGAAATGCAGTTGTGTGCAGGTCAGTGCGAAGGGTCACAGCCGTGTCCTCATGTGTGCAGCTCCAGGAGCCTCGAGCAGCTCCGAATCCGTCCCACAACAGACCTAGATTCCTCTTCCCACCTCGAGCCCTCCAGAAAGGCGCTCACAGCCTGCACCTTGCTGCCTTTGTTAGGCCTGTGTCACATAAAGTTAGGGAGTGTACCTAGATGGCAGTTTGCTTTAAGCTGTTTTAAATGGCTGCAGTCAAATTATTTTTTCCCTTTACAACTCTGAGTGTATTGAAAAACCAGAGAAAGCAAATCTGTTCCCCAAGCTTTTAGAAAATAGGTGTTTTCATCTGTACTTTCCTTCCAGCTTCACAGTGTATATACACAGGCACCACAGATTAGTTTGAGTAAAGGTGACGCTTCTCTGACCAAGAGACACTTGGTGTCTTCTTCCTGCGAGCAGTTGAAATGACCCATCTGTCCCTCTCCTCCTAGATGTTCTGGATATCCACTCGGTCACAGGCATCATCGTGGGCGTCTGTCTGGGGCTGCTCTGCATTCTCTTCTGCATGTGCGCCAGCTTCCGCAGCAGCAAGCACAGGTAGGGGTCACGCCGCCCTTGCAGGAGACCAAGGAGCTTGAGTGGAAGGAGATGAAAATCATTGAACTTCTTCCCCTGCACTGAACTTCTTCCCCTGCACTGAACATCTTCCCCATCCTCAGCTGGGCTCTTTGGCACTGCTGTTTAGTGGGAGGCTGCTTGGGATGCAAAATATACCATCAGTTAATACAAAGGCTGAATTTTGGAAATACTAGCCAGCTAGCGAAAATATTTTAATCTATATTTTTTTTTGATGATTTATTTTCCCAATGGTTTCCCTTTAATTTGCATAATTAAATGTATTTTACAGGGAGGGGGAAAAGAGGGAAAAACAGATTGATAACTGTCTGTGGGCAGTGTTTGGCTTCTGAAATTACACAGCTCTGAGGATGTTAGGAAAGAGTTTGCTAACTTCACGTTAGAAAAACTTGACAGGTTGGTTTAAGTAGGGTTGGACTCGGCCCAAAACTCTGCTTTGCCAGAGATCTGAATCCAAACACAAGGTTTTGGAAATGTATCTGAAAATGAGCCTAGTTTTCGAGAAGATTATTGAGCTGGTAGCAAACCCTGGGACTAGAAACAAGCAACTTGGGAAGTCTCGCCCTAGAGTGCCCCTGAACCCTCCTCTGTTGCAGCCATCGTGTGTAAAGCAGAGAGGAGGCTGGCACGGGTCCCTGTAGACAGGGATTAGTGAGCAGTGTCCCCATCATGGGACCTACACCGTCCTGTGTCTGAGTGCAGCACGTGGGTAGAGGATCTCCTTCCTCGGGAGGGTCAGAGATGGCCTGAACGGATCCCAGTGGATTGGTTTTTCCATCAGATCTTTGGCTGGCAGTGGGTGGAGGGTTGTGAGGCTCCCTGGAGGTGCCAACTGTGCTGACTCTTCCTTGTTTTCCTTCAGGGAGGCTCTGCCAGGGATGGACCCGCAGGCAGCTGGCAACCACACTTACTACCACCGGGGCAGGCAAGGGGTGGCAGCTCCTCGTGCCGCCTCAGACTGCCACGAGCTGGAGTCCCTCATGTCCCCGCTGCCGGAGGATGCCCCCGTGCCCCTGGGGGACATCACGGAGCTGACGGAAGTGCACAGCCTCGTGCCCACGAGCCGCCCTGACGCCGTCGTCCCCGGGAAGAGGAAGGTAATGAGCCCAATGACTCCTGCCCAGGCCGGAGCCCTGGCTTGCTCTGCCACTGCTGCCACATTTGGGACCCCTATACCGTCCTCCTCCCCTTTTCATCTGCAGGGGACAGTGACCCTGTGTCCGTTTACCAATCTTAATTGCTACAGAAAGCTGAGCTATTCCTCTTGCCATCATGTAAAGATTGTATAAGAGAGCGGCCGCCGTCTGGCACAGAGAGCTGAACAGCCTGGGAAAGAGCAGCTGAAGAAAACAGCACGTATTGCCTGTTAACCAGGGATCCTGCCTCAGCTCCTACCCTGGCACAGGCCCAGGACTTGCAGGGAGTGCTAGAGCTACCCATGCAGGTGTTTCTTCTCGTAGAAAAACTCAAAGAATAACACTGTATTGGCAGGTTAAGCCAGGGAGGCGCTCTGCCACCCCACAGGATCCTGTGGAGGTGGTGTGTGGGTGCTACCATATCTGCTGGGTGCTTAGGGCATGGCCTTGGTGGAGGTGAAATTCCAGCACACCTGCACTCCAGACAACAGCTCTGTGATGGCTGGGCTGGATGCTCTCCTTTCCAGGGTACTCGTTTGTCTTGAGTAAAAGGTGCTTTGTCCATAAATAGTGTGTCCATGAATAGTGTGTTTGCTGGAATACCCTTGAAGATGGACAGGAGGTGAAGATGGACAGGAGGTGCTTTATTCACGGGTTTTATTTTTGAAGGAGTCTTTTTCCTGCCCTGCTTGGTTTGCCTGACACTGCATTGCCTTTCACTCCCTGCCCATTTCGTCTCTCAAGCTTGCCTGAAACATTTCATTCCATTAGGGAACCTTTAATTGGCCTAATTTAGTTAATCTGTTTATGTCTCTCTTTGTAACCCAGGGAGAGCATGTAAAGCAATTAGGAGGTTCAGTAAAACAAATGCATCGGGAGCGCGTGGGATTTCGCGTCCGCGTCGCTGTGACGTCGCCTGTCGCTGGTGGGAAGCTCTGTTCAGGGTACCCCGCAGTGTCCACAGGCCGCTCCTTGCTGCTGCTGATGATGATGCAGGTGGAAATTTTGTGTCTTCAGCTGCCTTTAATAATCCTATGGGCTGGACCTGTGCCCGTGCTCATCCCCAGCTGCTGGGTGAGGTCTGTGCTTGCTACGACGCTGCGTTGCGGCATAGCCAGCCCAGGTGCTTGTGAGTTGGCATCTCAGCCACATCCATGGACTGCAGCAGAATGTGGAATGTGGCTGCCTGTCTGGATCCAAGCCAAAGAGCACGAGGAATTTCCTACAGCCCTTTCTGTTAAATAAGGAACAAATGTTTCCCGGGAAGGTGATTTATCCTGTGAAACAGGTTGGGGGCGGGTGGGACATGGGTGACCACTGTCAGTGCCACCTGCAGCCACTTTGCCTGGTCCCTGGGAGGCTGTTCTCTGCAGCCAGGCTGCAGGTGACAGCAGTGGAGATGACCTGGGGAGGAGGGGGCTGCCAACTTCTCAGGCTTCACCTCTTACCATTTTTTTTCCATAAACCCCTTTCCAGTCTCCTCCCTGGCTAGTGTCTAAATCAACGGTGATGGAGAAGGACTTAGTCCATCAATCTGACTGGAGTAGGGGAGGACTACTGGGAGTCACGTTCACCGAAGGGCCTTGCCAGCAGAATAAGGGCTTGGTTTTGATGGCATCAGGTGGTTTTGACAGCTAGAGCTGGGAAATAAGGATCCCGGGAGAGCAGGACCGTCACCTGCGCCGCCCAGGAGCCACAGGCTGCTGTTGCCGGGAGCGGGCGCTGGAGGGGGATGTGCTCCCAAGCAGGACGCCCGGCTCCCATGCCCCTTTCCAGCTTCCTGGAGCTGCCACCTGCACTGCCTGGAGCCAGAGCCGGCCCCAGCGCCTCCTCCCTGCCATGGATATCCAAGGGTGAGAAGGCTCAGGCCAAACCCCTGGTAAGGCTGGAGCTGTGGGGCAGCCCCACGTCCTCAGGAGGGACCGGCTGTGCGGCTTGGGTGCCCACGCGCGGTCCCGCTGCAGCTGGATGCCAGCGCGGGGCTCGGCAGGGCTGGCAGCTCCTGAGGCAGAGGGGAACGTGGCCGTTCAGCGGCCCTTTCCCCTCCCTGGCTGTTTCCCCGTGGCCACACACGGGTCGGAAAGTGCCCTGACAAGTGATGTCCCTCTTGTACCCTCTTGTCCTGCCAGGTGCCCCGCAGACGCGGCTGCCCGCAGCAGCACGGGGTATAAATGAGACCACAGCACGAGCTCTGCTGAGCAGCCCTCCCTCCCCTGGCAGCAAGGGTGACAACGGGGTGCGTCCCATGCACTGAGGGTGATGAAATGGCTCTGCTCCAGCCAGCACCGTCCCTGCCGCTGTGGGGCCAAGCAATTTAGGAGGCAGAGGGAGTGTTAAAAAGCATCTGCTTTCCATGCAAGACTTCAGCTTTTCCCCGAATGAAGCCAAAGCCAAGTGTTTGGGCTTGGAAATGCTGGCTGCTGTGCTGTAATCTGGACCCTCTGCTCTCCACACTGGCCCTGGGGGCCTCCTCCCCACGGGGCTGCCTTTGCCGTGACTCAGAGCCAAAGCTGCAAAACATCAGGGAACTTGGATCTCCCCGGTTGTTTTTCCTCCTCTTGTTGAAATTTGGCTGCTTGGAAACAAAAAAAGTTGCAAAGTTTTCTCAGAAATACTAGATGTGAGCCATGCTGGGGTGCCTGTACGTTGGGACGTAGCGTCTGTGCTCTACGTGGCATCAGAAATGTCCCCAACCCTGTTCTGCACAGGATTTCAAGCTAGTTTAAATCACCAGCCTCGTAAACCAGGGAAGGTTTCAAGCTCAGCGTTTCCTGCGTGCCCCTTCTCGGCTCGTATGTTTGCGTGAAGTCATTAGTTGTCACTGAGAAGGTAACGTGATCTAGCTTCACTCTTTACCAGTCCAAGTTTCTATAAAAAGCTTAAAATGAAAAGGCTGGTTTGCTTTGATAAGGGTTTAGCTGCAATGGAAACACCTTTTACTGGAAGATGCTTTTATAAGTTTTCATTCTTGTGTTTGCGGTGAACTCAAAAAGGGATCATTTCTTCTCTAAATTAGTATTAGACTAATGCTCCTCATTCATCTATTGTAATGGGGGGGGAAAAAGAAAGATCTTGTCTTCCTTCTGCCATCGAGTAGCCTCTCGTGAGTTGAAAGAAATAATCACTTATTCCACCAAGAGATATTGCCTGAAAAAACACAGCTTTCAGGCACACGAGACCTTCCTCAGGTCTCCCATGAAAACAGACCTACAATTAATTGCAGCTGCCCAACCTCAGAGACATAAGCCCAAGAGGGAATGTTTTCCCCTCCAAACATAATGCGCTTGAACCAACATGTGGGATATGGGCCATGTTTTGTGGCTGATGGTTTTTTTTGTTGTTTGTTGAAAGTTGCAAACTGGTACAAAACAAGTTTGTTCTTCCTTGCAGCCAATTTCAGCCAGAGCCGAGCAGGCTGTTCCCAGAGCCATCAAAACCTATGTAAACATGGCAGATTGACGTTTCCACTAACAGATGGCCCGTTGGGGATTGCACTAGAGCTGCCTGTTTCTTTCCACGTTTTCTTGGTATTCACAAGATGCCTGCAAGAAGGTTTTTCAAGTTTGCTTTGTGTCTGTGTGCGTTTGCGTGTGGTGCTCAGCTCTCCCTGATGGCAAATACGCATGGAAGCATCTATAATAGGACACACACATTTGCGTGCCTGTGTGCAGACTGGGGTAGGTTCAGCTCGGAGATTTCCAGGCAGTATTTGCTTAGTAACATATGTTCCTTGGAAAAGGCGCACAAGGCATCAGTCAGGGATGTGTCTGCAGAAAGCCTTTCAGATGGCAGCAGCAAACTGCACGCGTTCTTTGCGATCCTGCATTTAGTGATACTCCTTAATGTGAGTCATGTGCGAGCGCTCGGCTGCTTTCTTGCTGTTAAAATGTTGTTTAATGACTGCCCACCTAGAAAGGGAGCAATTAGGGAGTGCTCCTGGCGCAGCATATGTTGTTGAGGGTTGCAGAGGGGAGCAGCAAAGAGGCTATCCCAGCATCCGCTTCCAAAGCGGCCGCTTCGCTCCCAGCGTGCAAGTCCCTGCTGTGTAGAGCTCTGCCACATAAACGAGGCTCTTGGATTTCCTTGGGATTTGATCCTGGGGCAGAGGCAAAAGCTGCTGCGACACTGAGTGTTCTGCTGTGGATGGAAGGGATGAGCCATAAATGCAGGGAGCAATGGGCAGTCGGTGGCTTCGAGTACCCGTGTCCCATGTCTCCACCTGCATTGCCCTCGTGCTCAGAGCACCTGTGTTCTGTGTGCACAGCTCAGCTGGGTCAGGATTTTCTCCTCACTTTAACCTTGAGTCCTCCTCCCGCTTCTAGCCAGGCTACACATAACATCTGTCCCATGTAATTGGCTTATGGCTCCCTTAAATCTGAGTATATGTGTGCGTATATTTATTTATGTGCTCGAGTGCCTAGCAGGGCCGAGCTCAGGTAAGTGCAGCACAGCCCAGTAAAATCAAGCCCTGAAAAGAAAATACCTTTTTTGCCTGTGAACTAATAGTCTGAGCTGTTAAATAACTTCAGCTCTTAAAGGCACCCGTTTCCCTTGCACAGAGGTGCATTGAGCAGTTTATTGCAAGGGGAAGCTGAGGGACCCCAGAACAAATTGCGTTCAGCCCATATAATTTAATTAGATCTACAAACAAGGTAACACTGGTTGCCCAGGGGATTTAAAGCTGAACTAAGAATTGCTTGGTGGTCTGTTGGGGGGGAAAAAAAAAAGTCCCCAAATTTTGTGCCTCTGTGTTGATTGGGAGCACCGGAGTGTTTATCCAGGCCCCAGCTTAGGGCAGGAAAATGAACCAAGCTGCAGAGTGAGGGGTTTAGTGTTGTCCTCAGCTCGTGCTGAGGACAGGTGAGGGTCCTTCTTGCTGCAGTATTGCCCATGCCAAAGCAATGCCAAAGATGTTCAGCTCCAGAAGATTCCCACCACCCCTGGTCCCTTCCAGGTATTTTGCAGTAGGCTTGCACTGCTTTGGGTCTGTTTGCAGCTTTGCAGGGAGTTTTGTGCCATAATATGCTTTTTGGCCTCAAAAATTGTGGATCAGTGGGATAACTCTCCTAAGACCAGATGTGAAATATCTGGCAACTTTTATCTGCTTGTTTTCTATCACATCAGAGCATGTAATGCAGAGCGATAAACCCTGTTGTCAGGGGGCAACGGTGCCAGTCTGTTGTAGCAAGCACTTTTATTGTGATGCCATTGGATTTTTATTTTATTTTTTATGTTTTTATGTTTTAACTTAGCTCTTCTAACACAGCTTCCTTTTGCCTCTTTCAAGCCGCCTCTTATGTCAGGTTTATGAGCATAAGAATCTGCATCTGTGGTAACCAGCTCCCGTTCTCCTCTTTGCAGTCCTCGTGGAATAAATCAGCCAAGCAGCCCTGGGCAAGCAGCGTAGCCAGATACGGAGAGGCCATCAAGGAAGAGCCGCTCTCTGCTGCAAACGGATCGCTGAAGCTGCAGCCCGGCACGGGGCAGAAGCTCTTGTTGCAAGCCCTGGTTTACGACGCTGTGATGGTGGGTGTCTTGGCTGGCTTGTGTCCTCTGATGCTTTTTTGTTTGCATTGACTGCCCCCTCTCCCTTTCTCCTTTCTGCAGCACAAGAGGAAATACTTTCTTCTGTGTGCTAGTTTCAGGTGCCTGAATACTGACTTTATTTTTGGGGTATCGCACTGCAGGCCAGCAAGACTGGCAGCATTTGAATAAAAGCTGCTTATTTTTCCAGGCACCCCTTAAGACTCAGCTCTGCCTGGTCCCCTTGGTCCCTCGGGGCCGGTCACCCTGCTTGCTGCCAGGTTGGCTCTTGTGCAGGGCGACCTGCTGGTGGGTTCAGAGCCAGAGCTCGGCTCATCCTCACTCTCTGCCCTGGGGCTGCCGGAGAAGGAGGCGCCTTTTGCCATTAAGAGGAGCCAAAGCTCAAGGGTTGATTGAAGCTCCTGCTGCAGACAGGGTCGAGTGATTTCCGCTGCACTTGTCTTCTTTTTGTGGCTGTGTAGATGGGAAGGAAATCCCAGCTTCCCATTATTCCGTCACTAGCACAGATGCAGGCTCCCGTGTTTGAGGGTTTGTGCAGGAATCGGGATGTCTGTGCCACAGTGTCCCCAAAGCAAGTGATCAGAGCAACTCCACGCCACAAGATCAGTCTGGTTATGGCTTTTAAGCTCAGCCCTCCTCACCCTACACCTAACAAATACTTCTAAGTAAACTACCTGTGTTTCCTTCCTAGATAGTAGTGCGAAAATCAATTATACACAGGATGTAATTAACGTTGTGGATCGAGTCAAGACAGTGTTTTACAACCCAATTACAGGGCACCATTTACCGCACAGCTCACCCACCAGAGTTTGTCAACAAAAGGAGGAACGGGTTCAGAGATGGAAATGGCCCCCCAAAGCTGCTTTCTGCAGACAGCACAAATCACCCATGCTGTATCCCACTCCCATGCTTTGAATAGTCACCCTATGACTAGCAGCCAGCCCGGAATTTGGGCAGGGATTCTCTGAAGAGCAATTTGAGAGGTTCCAAAATAACATACCTGTTAAATTATCAAATGCTAATCTAGTAGAATATCCTGCTTTTAGCAGACTTTCAAGATGGTCTGTGCATAAATACTGTGCAGGAGAATTGCTTGGTGGTGTTTTTGTTTGTTTTTTCCCCTGAATTAGATGGCTTGGTTTTTATACCATTTATTTTTGCAAGCCATGATATGAATTATGCTGAAATATTTTGTCACATGAAACCAAGATTAAAGCAGAGAAGTGAAGGGAGCCCTCGTGTCTTAGTTACAGGTCTCCAGCACCACCCACCCTTTAAAAACCTGACCCCTCACATGGGGAACAGTGGTGATTTTGGCCAGGTGAGGTGTGTGACCCCAGCGGGAGAGGCTGGGAGGATTTCCTGCTTCAGCTCGCCAAGAGACCTCGGGCAAATCGACTCACTGCCTTGGGACTCGCTTTTCCACATGTAAAATACGAATAATGATCCTTAGATGCTTCTTAAGACTTCAGCCTTGAGCAGCCTATCGAGATAGGCTTAATAATGACACGTGTTCATCCCAGCACACTGCAGGATTAGAGAGGGACACATGCTTCAGTGCTGGTTGTGTTGCAGCCCCAATTATCTGTCTTCTTTCCCCCCTCTCTTCTTTGATAGCAGAACGAAGCAAAGAAGAGCCACCCCCCCGCCTGCCTCCATCAGGTGGAGGCTGAGGTCATCGTCCACTCTGATTTTTCAGCCTCTGACAGAGACTACGACTCTCAGCTTCACGCACTGGACAGTGAAGAAACAGAAACCGAGGACCAAGAGCCCGAGGAGTTTCCCTGCGGTGACCGGGCTCTTCCCGCCTCTCCCAGCACCCAGCAGGATCTCGGCCACCCGCTGACGGACAATCCTGAGGTGCAAACCCGGGGTGGGCCACTAAGTACTGACCAAAAGACTAGCAAAGCGGAGGCTGCCTGCATCCATGGGCTCTCCAACGGCTTCCACAGGCACGGGGAGAGTCTGCAGTCAGTGCAGAGCGGAGACTCGGGCTCCGTCCAGGAGGGCAGGGGCCACCAACAGCCAGTCAAGTGCCAGTCGTTTTCCGTGGCCCCAGAGGATGCCCCCCTGGGCAGGAACTCTGGTTTAACCTGTTCATCCTCAGCATCTGAGAACATGACATATGTCCACAATCATTAAAGCGTAAATGAATCTGATTTTGGTCATGGGAGAGCCAGAAGCGCTAATGAAGGCCTGTCCGTGTCAGGTGCTGCATGCCCTTGACTTGCCAGGGCCAGCAGGAGCTAAGAGGATGCCGCGTCTCATCAGAACAGGGCTTGGGCCTGTCAGCTCTACATAACTACCTTGGGGAAATCAGGAGGTAGATTGATGGGAGCACCGTCTTCTTCCCGCTAAACCTAATGAGTAATTGGGTGTTTGTGGAAGCAGGACTGAGCCGTCTGCCAACGTCTGATGTGCAGCCACGACTAGAACAGAGCCTTCTGCGTTAGACCGGTGCAGTAGCCCCGATGGCGAGTGGAAGAGGCCGTTAAATGCTGAAAAGAGGCAGAGTTCACCGAGTGATCCCTCAGCCGGCTCTTCTCCATGGAGGACCTTCGCGTTATCCACTGCCGTGCAGCACTGGGATGAATTTTGACAAGTGTGGAGGTGGAAACCGATGAAAGAGAAGTTGTGAGCTGTAACCACCAGCTTTCTCTGCCCTCCCGTGGTTAAAATGATTATAAGGCTCTCTTCGGACGCTACCACAGTAACTATTACTAGCAGGCTGATGTAGTGGCCTTTTATTACACACTCTACGAGTGCCTCTAACACCTTGTACTATATAGAACCTTCTCCAGTGTCTGGGTCGTTTCACCAACCTGGGCTTTGTTTTACGTAGGTTCTTGTACCTAATATTTTAGGTACACATCTGTCCTTTTAATGTACAACATGGATTTTTATTTCCTTGGAGCATCTTTATTTTATTTAATTTTATAAAGTGGAGTAGCGTGTGGCATAGAGTAGCATTTTTACTACTTCTCTCTCTTTTTTTTCCTCCTTAACAACACAACTACCTCATGGTATGCCGTCTTCTGAAAAAAAAAAAAAAAAAAAAAGCAGTAGGTCTGCTCATTCGTTATAGTCCATTCAAGGTTTTAACTTATTCTTGTACTGCCTTTTTCTGAAGCATATGTTTGCACTGGTTGTTGACTGGTTTTAAGGAACAGCGCTGCAGATCTGGTGTCTCTCTGGCTTTGCTTCTTCGCAAGGCAGTGCCAGAGGGCACCTCTGCAGCTGGAGAGCTGGGCCGTGTTTCTCTGTAGGGCTGCGTGTTTTGCAGCTGGCCAGAAGAGAGTATCTCAGCTTGTGGGGTGGTGGTCGGTCTTCAAGGAGCTCGTGCTACTGAAGAGATTAAAGAAGCACCCGTTGCAAAAGTCACTTGTGATCTTGGGGGCTTCTGGGCCTCTCCCTGTGCCCAGGTGGACGTGTCCCAGGGGACTCGGATTCCCAGACAGCAGCTCTCAGGCTTCTGGAAGCAGTGGATTTGCTGTAGGCTTCCCCCATCCCATGGAATGTTCTGGTAAATGGGATTCCCAGTTGTCCCAGTTCCTCCATTGCCCAGGCAGGTGCCTGGTACCCTGGGAAGCCTTGGAAATGCTTTCCATGCTCTGAAGGGCCGTGATTCTGGAAGGCTTTAGCAGAGACGCTTGGAGTCGGTGCCCGCGAGCGGGCCAGGCTGCAGCCGGTGAGGGGCTGGGAAGGCGGCGCGGGCGCAGGCAGCGCGTGATCCACCTTCAGAGCTCCCGGCAGCAAGACTTGGAGGCGAGCGACGCGGCGGCGTTGCAGATAAGGCGGTGAAGTGTTATTGCAGGCAATAAGGGGAATTCACGGCTATCTGGCAGCGGATGCAATTGCTGAGGTCCGAACCCTGCAGCTGGGAGTACCGGGCTCCGGCCGCAGAGGGTGGGGACAGATTCCTGCAGCTGGACCCGAGTGTGCAGGTGGTCTCAGGGAAGCGGCGCTGCCTTCCCGGGGACAAGAGAGGCCCCGTCTCTGTACACACCAGGCGGCCACCTCGGGATGTGCAAAAAGTGAGAAGGACCCGTGGGGAAAGGCTCTAAGGGGGAGCCTGGTGGCTTCCTTGAAGCCACTCTGTAAGAGTCACCTGCCTTGGTTCTCCTTGCAACACCTGTGAGCCTAACAGCGTGCCAAAAGCTGCTGCTGGCTGTTCCTTGGTGGTCCTGCAGCCGGAGCAGCCGCGACTCCCGAGAGCCCTGCACGGAACCTTGGGAACAAACCAAAGGGCTGGAAACGTGCAGTGGCCTCTGGGAAGTGGGTGCAGGGGCTCAGGGTGCGACGCCTCTGAGCATCGTCTTGGGAGCGCTCTGGAGAGCAGCTGTGGGGCAGCCGGGGGCTGCTGGGGGGCAGGAGCGCAGGGGCTGGCGCGGGCTGGGGCTGCTGGGCATTGCTCCCGCTGCCATCCCTCTGCCGTGCTGGGCACGGCCCCGGCACCAGCTCCCAGCTCTGTGTCTGCCCCGGGGTCGGTGGGCACGGAGGCTGCGTTCGCCAGCGGGTCCTGTTGAGGACGGTGCCGCGTTCCCAGGAGTGCCCCTTGGAGCAACATCTGCTTTCCCTGCAGACCCCGGAGCCGGGTCTGCCTCGCCGATCCGACCAACAGACCCGTCTGACTGATGAGATCTGCCCCAGAGCCATCGCCTGTCACTGAGGCCAGCGGGCACGGGGGGGCTGTTCTGCTTGCGTTGCCATCACAAACCCCCGGGTTAATTCTGTGCTCGGAGAGCGGGGGGCAGATGCGGTGGGGGGCAGACGCTCCCCTCTAGCGTTGATTTGGGTAGAAGGTTGAACCGCAGAAGTGCTTGGGCTCCTCACGTTGAGGCTTCTGCTGACCTTGCTCCATCCCAAGGACACTCCAGGCTGGGAAGTGGCAGCATTTGAGCATCCAGGTGCTGCAGTAGCTGGGCACGGATGTGCCAGGCCTCAGCTGCAGGAAGCAGGGCCCTTCTCCTGGAGTCAAGCCCTGCACTGACGGGCACCAGCAAAAAAGGGACCTGAAATCACTATCGAGCATCCGTGTCCGTGCAAAATGCTTGGTGTCCTCATTCCTTGGCGGCACCCAGGTCCCTGCTGCTGTGAACATCTGGGACCCTCCCAGTCTCAGCTAGTGGTGGGAAAGGAGTGCGAGAAGACAGGTAACACACACCTCATGGGCAGGGCTCAAACAACCAGTGCATATATATATATATATATATATATATATTTTTTTTTTTTTATCATGAAGTAAGTAGCTTAATTTCCCGCAGACACTCAAACTGTTGATACCATTAATTACCCGTCATGCTCAATGTATGTTCCTACACATCAGGCTCCCTTTTCCCTTTTCTTCCTTTCAGTAACACTAAAGATGATTGTTGTTCAGCTTTACGCTGGTGTATGTTGTTTTTCATTGTTAAAATGTCAGATCTGTCTCACTGGCCTAAGTTCGTAGTATTAATATTACTATTTGACTACACAACTGTATATTTTCCATGCTGCTGTGAAAGTCAAAATCCTAATTCTTTTATTTCTTTTAATTTCCTGTTACATGAAACATATGACTTGGCTAAAAGCCCCTTTTCAACTTTTTTCTTTTTTTTTTCTTTCTTTTTTTTTTTTTTTTTTTTTTTTTTATTTAACAGACAGTAAAGTTCTGGTTTAAATACTTCAAATGAGATAATTTATAACCTAGGTTTTGAGAATTGTGCTGCATTACTAGCTAACAATACTGAGATCAGTCCATAAAATATGCTGGGCAAGAAAACAACCATTTTAGTAGCACTCAGTATATGTTTTTGATCTCATTAGAAATAGATCTTTTTGAAGGGATCATTGTGTCTTTTCTAATCAATAACCTCGTTAGAAAAGAGGTGTTTAGTCCAGCAGAACTCAGTCATTTACTTCTGTTATCGTATTGCCTTGCTAATATTTTAAAATTAAATTTTATTTAATTTTGTACACAATGCATAAGGAAGCATAACCAGAACTTGATCTTGTTTTAAGATGCATCTGTATTTGGTTCCATGCTGTACTTAATTATAACCTTCATTCTTCAGAGACTGTTCTTACTCCACTATTCTTTAGTGTTCAAGTGTAAGAAGACATTGTCCTTATATTCCTTAATTAATGGATTATTAATAAAATATTTTTTAAAACGGAGGCATTTTCCTCACGCTCCAGTCTGTTGCAGCTGGTGCTCCACGAGGAGGATCCGTTGCGGACGGCGGATGCTGGGAGCAGCGGCTGTACCTGCCCTTCCCGAGCCCAGGTGAGCTGTCAGCAGACACGGCTCTGCCGGAGCTGCGGCCGCGCGCTGCTGCAGGGCAGGGCGGCGCGGCCGGGATGGGGCCTCGTGGCCGCAGCAGGAATTGAACTGCATTTCCTAACGTTTCGCATCCATCCCGGGGCTTAGCAGTTACTGTGGCTGGATTGGAGCGATACCCGGCAGCTGCACGGTGGCACAACTGCAGCATTGGTGTGTGTTACAAGGAGAGATGGAGCATCCCCTCGCTGCTGCAGCCCGTGCCTACCTCGTGGTGCACTTTGCATACTCCTCTGAGCAGGTATCCAGACATGTGCCTGGCGGGCAGCGCTGCTGGAGCTGGATTAGGGATTTACACCCATGCCAGCGTGGCACCGGAGCCCGTAACCACAGGGCGTAGGGCTGGGGGTGCTGGTGGATGCCTGGTGCCTTGGAGGTGGCGCTTCTGGGGTCGCAGGCGTGGGCAGAGGGCAGGTTCTTTTGGTATCTCTGGGTACGTGCTCATTTCTCGAATGTTGAACTATTGCCTGTAAGAGAAAGAAGACATAATTGTCGAATTTTGTACTTTAACTAGGAAATGTGAAAAATAAGGAGCATCACGCAGCAGAGGAAGGGAATGGGCGCTTCCATGGAATAGGCACTGGGCTCAGTAGTTGGCACCAGCTGGACTGGCAGTGCCCGAGGACACACTGTGAACCTCCCAGGCAGCTCCCTCTCTTCCTAGGCTGCATTCCCTACTCGAGTAGATAGTTTCCATTATTGCTTTATGCTGCCAGGACTACAGGGTCATAAAATCTCATTTTATCTGCATTATGGAGGTAATAAATCTGCACTTAGCATAGTGTTCTTTGATAGTGGTTACAGGGAACTCTGTCAGACTGCGTTAACTCCAATGAGTCTCTGTCCTAGCAACAGGTAGCCCGGCAAATGGGCAGGGAAGGACTTGGGTGCAGCAGGACTCTGCAAGTCCCTTTTCAGTTCCCTGTGAGAGCAGAGCTGCCCCAGGAGGCTGCTGAGAAGGGACAGCAGGAAAGGGAGCCACACGCAGGCCAAGGGAGCAGAGGGGCGGATGGAGCAGCTGGAAAGGGGCCGGGAACGCGGAGGAGATAAGAACAAGGTGTTTGTTCGCGTTTCCTTGCTTTCCCAGCCCAGGACTGCAGCAGGCTGCAGGAAAGCTGCACAGAGCAGCTTTCCACATTCAACCCTCATGAGTTTCTCTTGCTCCCAAGGGCATTTGAACTGGGACTAGCTGCTCGTGTGCCGCACTAGGACTGCTCTCCCCTCCTCGCTTACAGCTGACCCAGGGGGAGCTCACCCGGAGCACAGCGGTGCTACCTGGATTCCAGGTGGATCTGGGCAATCGCTTCCCGCGTGTTCTGTGCAGAGTCAGCCTGATGCTTTGGGTGGCTGGGAACAGCCAAGCTTTAGCAGGGAACAATGTGCTGGAGGGGCTGTTGGAGGCTGCTACGAGGAGATTGATCACGGCTTTGAGGATGCATCACGTGCGTGGCAGCTACGCTTGTGCTCCTGGGTCTCTCCGAGGTGTTATTAGTGCTGGCTCCACACGCCTGTTTCCCTGCTGGCCCCTGGATCATGGGCACAGTTGTTTCCAATTAATGGGGAACGTGTAGCTCCTCCTCGGCTGATAACCGAGCACCAGGAGGGAGTCCCTTAGTGGGCACGAGGGGGGCAGCGGTGGCTCTGCCATTGCTGGGTTGTGCCAGCATTGCTGGGCCCGGCTGAGAGGGGGCACAGAAGGGGTTTTGCTGTGGAAAGGGGCTCCCACTTGGCTGCCTGGCCAGCCTGGAGCTTGGTTCCTTAATTCCTTGGTTCCTTAATTTGGTCCCTGCATCGTTACAGGGCTGGTGTCTTCAAAACCATTGAGGTCCTCTGGGTTTAATTCCTGCCCTTAGGAGGGCGCCTGTTGGCTATCAGGCTAACGGATCCATCTTGTGCAAGGGCTGTTGGAGAGAAATCCTAATTCCTCCACCAAGGGTGTGTGAAACGGCTGCTCAGGGAGGTGATGGGGCTGCAGTGCTGGCAATGGCTCTTTGCAGGGATACGAGATCCCCAGCACCTCTTCCTTAGCCCCTTGGCATGGGCTGCTTTGGGAAGGGCTGGATTTCTCCTTCCCCCCACCATGCAGCTTGGTGACTACTTAACAGATGCTAAAAAATGGTGTGTGTACCTAAGTGCAAAGCTCCCAGGCCCTCAGCAGACAGGCAAACCACAATTACACACAGAATAATAAATGGAGCGAATTCAGACAGGTTAATCTCCCGCCTCGTTCCCCGGAACGAGTAATGGTGTCTTGGGGACCTGAGCTCTCAATTAGTTGGTGTAAATCAGGAGTGCTCTTGGAGCTGGAGGAAACACACAGTGCAAGGGGAGGCCTCTGCGGGCTGCTCTCACGGATGATAAACTTATTGGGATAAAGTTATTGGGAGGGAACATGGAGGGACCGAGCGGGGAGCCTTGGCCAGGCCGGGCATGGCGCGAGGCTGCCATTTTCTGCAAGGCTCCCATTTTTGCTCATGGTGTAACCAGCACATTTCTGCTTCCAATAAAAAGCAGCTTCTTCAAGTCCTCGCAAGGAGCACGGAAAACGGGAGTGCTTCAGCTTCCTGCCCTAAATGGGCTCTAAGAGGAGCACCCGATGGAGCTTTCCTAGGCTTTTCGGGAGCCCGCTTGTTCTGCTGGAATCTTCTCTGGGAGTTTCTGCAAGCATTACGGAAATGCTCGAGGGGCCCCGCGGCGCTAGCGGCAGCCAGGGATACGGCTACAGAACAGGAGCAAAGAGGTTGCGCCGAAAGGTCAGGGACAGCGCAGAAATTCAGATGTTAGTGAGGGGCCGACGGAGCCTGTTCAGCCCAGAGCGAATTCTTCCCCCGCTGAAAGCAACCTCTTGGAGCGCAGCTAAATGAGCAAAGCCCTAATGCGGAGCAGATGTAGTGACGTCTTCCTTAATTGCTGGCTCAAATGTGTTCAGGTTTCGTGCCGTGCCGAAGAGCGGCACGTTGCTCGTCTTGTGTTTTGACCAGATTACTAGCTTAGTCGCTATTTTTACTCTTGAAAACAGAAATGCGTCAGGCCATAATGCCAAAAAGAAATGCCAAAATAATGCCAAAAGAAATGACTTTAAGCTATGGGGATGCCAAAAATAATGCCAAAAAGAAATGACTTTAAGCTATGGGGAAAGAGGGAGCGATGCCTTGTGCTGCGGTGAGGGGCTGAGGGCCATGGCAGTGCAACATGGTGCCCTGGTGGGCGCCATGCGCTTCTCCTGGGGCCGGGGCAGTGCTGCAGCGAGGGGACGTCGCCGCCGCAGTGGCTGCAGGGCCACCACATTGGCCAGCACTGCCTTGAGCGGTTTTGTCCTCCAAACAAAGCCCAGAAGCCAAGCAGTTGGCGGCCCTGGTTGGGAACCTGCCCCCCGGGGAAGCCATGTTGTGAAACGGTAGTGGGGGACACAGGTAGCGCAAAACCCTCGGAGGGTTTTACAGCGATGCCTCCGCTCGCAGGAGCGGGGAGAACTCCGGGAGGCCCTTCCAGACTGGGGAGCAGCTCGAACTGGGGCTCATCCTGGCCCCCCCATCTTCCCGCTCGGCCTCACGGACGGCTGAGGGGACGGGAGCTTCTGTGCCCTCCTCTGAGGCGATTCCTCTGCGGCGCCTCCTGAGGCGAACCCCGCTCTGAGGGGTCAGGTGCCTCCTGGGGGGGTGGGAAGCAGCCGCTTCCCGAAGACCCCCGAAGGCGAGGGCTGCGGCAGGCGCCGAGCCCCCATCCCACCCCACCCCACGCCATGGCATCCCCTCC